TGCATTTTGTAACCGTACTGTGACGGCGCGTTAAAATGTTGAGTTTTTTATGGGTTTTAAAAAATTGAGGGTGTGAATAGGAAGGAAAAATTCTGAAAGGTATTAACCATGAAAAAAAAATAAATAGAGGGTGCAAATAGGGGGTTTCTAAAAATAAGTGCAATGAGTTTTGAAACTTCAAGCGGCCATAACCTAAACTTGGGGAGTTGGGGTAGGCCCAAACACTCAATGGGTTGCAGGCTGCTTGACTGCTTTAGACCGCGATTCAATTGTTATTGGGCAACACAATACCGTAATCAGCCATAAACCCGACCCGACTTGTTCCAGCGCCGAAATACGCCTTCCCGTCGAGCACCCGTATGCGCTTTGCAGTTTGCAGAGAGGAAGAAGCTCGAGAAAATTTTCCTCTTTTTCGCTCAGAGAATCCAACGCCAAAACCGGTTACGATCGCTGACCAGGTGGTTTCGGATTCATCTTTGAAGGAGAAGAATGGCGCAGAACTCAGAGAAGAGGTTCCATTCGATCATGGATAAGCTCTTTCATGCCCCTAAATCCACTCCAACCTCCTCCAGGTAGGTTTTCATTTTTCGTTTCCACTGTTTAGATTCCGAGAAACTGAAGGAAAATCTTGAGACGTAATTTTTTTTCTCCAGATGGAGCTGGCCTTAGCTATGAATTTGTATTAGGTTAATTTCAATGAAATTATGCTAAAATTTGTTAGTATACACAGTAATGTTGTATTCTTTTTGAGTTTCTTTTGACTATTATTTGTTTGATTCTATCAAGAGGCAAGAAGCGCCCAAATCCTTCCTCATCTGCTTTGGCGCTAGTGGAACCAAGAACTCGAGTCGATGTGTTTGAGGGGTCGCATCATTCTTCAGCATCAGCGGGATCATATCAAGCTCCTATGTGCAGGCCATGGGACAGGGGAGACCTCATGAGGAGGCTGGCTACATTCAAGTCCATGACATGGTTTGCTAAGCCCAAGGTTTGATTGCATTATCCTGCTGAGCATTGTTTTAATACGTAAAGAGTCATTATCCTTTCTTATTGTCTAATGACGTCAACCAGAAGGACCCCATATTTTGCCTTTGTATTGTTTTACTGCTTGTGTGTTTGTTGGGTCTTTGGCTAATATATGGTAATCTATTCCATTCGTGTAAGGTGGTAAGCGCTGTAAATTGTGCTAGGAGAGGTTGGGTCAATGTGGATATGGATATCATAGCCTGTGAATCATGTGGAGCACGTCTCTTTTTTTCTACTCCACCATCTTGGTCACAAGAGCAAGGTATATTGTGTTAGCATGACATACTTGTAAATTCTAGAGCAATGTCTATCTTGTATTAAAAGCTTACATAGCAATTTCTGACATTTGCATTCAGTTGAGAAAGCAGCCTTGGTTTTTAGCTTGAAGCTGGATAATGGACATAAATTACTCTGTCCTTGGATTGACAATGCCTGTGATGAAAGACTGGCAGAATTTCCTCCCATAACACCTGAAGATTTAGTTGATAAATTTAAAGAACGATCTTGTGCCCTCATCCAACTTTTAGCACTTCCTGTGATTTCTTCATCAGCCTTTGAATACATGAGAAGCCCACAGCTGGAAGAATTTCTTAGACAACCTTTAATGCTGGAATACAACAATGGGAACACTGAATCTTTTCAATCAGAAGCTAATGGCAATGGTCCTCCTGGAGTGGATCCTACTAATTTGTATTATCAGGTATGATGCTTGCTAGCTACTTTGGTGACAAATTTATGTTTATTCTGAATTGCTTTTCTTTTCTATCATACACTTCCCTGAACTTTCATGCAGTTTCTACAATTGCACCTGCTTTCTGTCTGTCGAATATGTACAGTCAAGATTGTGCTATTTAGAACTTTATAATTTTGTCTTCATGTTGTGAGTGATACTGGCATACTGTCCAGTGCATTCTTCACTAAATGTGTTGATGGTTTTTTCAGCAATCTTGAATTCTTTATGAAAAATTTCAGGCACAAAAGCTCATAAGTCTATGTGGGTGGGAACCCCGTTCACTACCTTATGTAGTTGACTGTAAGGATGAAGCAAATCAGTTTGTCAAAGATGCCGATATTTTAAAATCATCTCAAGGAGTTTATCAGGGACAGAATCCTAGTCCTTGCTTCAACTCAGCTGGTTCAAATGAAACTGTGGAGGAAAATGTAAACTCTGATGCTTGCAGACTACAAAATGATCCTAACTCTGTAGTTTTAGATTGCCGGCTTTGTGGAGCCAGTGTTGGATTATGGGCTTTCAAGACAGTTCCATGGCCTGTAGAGTTGTTCAGACTGGCTGGATATGTAGAAATCAACCCCAGAAATGGTGGTCCAGGCCATGAGCATGATGTTGACAATGGAAGCATTGTAAAGACTGGATCAAATATTGGATCATCGTCCAAAGAGCAATTCTCAAAATTAAAATTGACTATAGCAGGGGGTCCACCACCAACAAAACAGAACTTTAAAGCAATGATTGCTTTCCCTGTTATTGGCCGGAATTTGAGGGCCAGGTTTTCTCTTGATTCTGAGTTTAGAGATTGGATAAATAGTTGTGGAGAAGAAACTCCATCAGAACCCAAAAGTAATAGTTTCTTAGGAGGAAAAGATTCCTGTACCAATGGGCAAGCTGTTCCATCAGAAGACTCTGGGACTTTAGAGAGAAGCAGAGATGATGAGGGGCTCTATGACTCTAGAAGTGATGATCAACCTGCTTGTTTGGATCAGGCTGTTAGTGAAAGATGTGATACCCTTGGAAATCACCAGGACATGACATCAGAAGGAATGGGTATCATTGCTTCTCCTGATTACAGTAACTGTAATTCTATAATGGAAGATCGAACAGAAAACATTCAGATTGTAGCACAAGTTACAGATAAAAATGATAGCTTGCCTGGAAATGCAGATGACGAACAGACTACACAAATGGATAAAGCATGTGGTGAGGAAGTTTCTCTAGCTAAACATCCAGATTCTTCATCTGTTGCCTCTTACGTGGAAAACAATGCAAATGCTGATGTTACCCAGAACTTGGACACCAGAAAAGAGACTAGTGGCTATACTCTGCAAAAAGATAATAACCAGGAAGGTAACATTGTTGGCGATCAGTCTGCTGAAAATAACAGTGTCATGGCATATAGTGCTGGTAAGTGTTTACTTCTGAAAGATTGGTGATGGATGGTGTGTGTTTTGCTCATAGCTCATTCTAACAGAATTTGCATATTGATTCCGGAATTAAAGTATATTTATATACTTTGAGAAGTAGATCAATTCTGATGTTCTTAGAAGTGAATGAGGCTATCACTTCCATTGCTGCCTTGACAACATTTTTCTGTGCGCATTTTTCCTTCCAAAATCTATTCTCCCACCTTGAGCACTGCAAGCCTTTTTCTTTTTTCTCAAAACCTTTTTCATTGGTCTAGCCTTGTGGAATTGGTGATGAAGTAGTTAATCTAATGTGATTACTACCTTTTATGTTATCTGATTGTTGTCCAACACCCCAACAATGTAACCACTTTTCCCATATTAACATGTAAAACGAATGAAATCTTGATCCTAAGATGGTAGGTTAACATTTAAGTCATAAATATTGTTTTTTGTTTAGCAGTTGTCAGGATAAGGAGCTGTAGCTTTTAATTTATTTTTTCTAAGAGATTTGGTCAAATGTGGGCTCAACTTAAAATTAAAAAGAATGCTGTAAGTGGCCAAGCAAAATGGACTCTGCTTGACCAACTATTACCTACCAACTTATGTAAGAACAATATCACTCTTAATCATTTTATTCTATCCAGTTTTAAGTTAAGGCTGCTGCTAACCATGGATAGAATGGGATGGAGACAAGATTTTAAGTGTGCTGCAATTCCCAGTTTTGCATCTGATAGTCTGAGACACTCTTAAGAATCCATCCTTTCAAATGAATTAGATACTATATAACTTGCAGAATGAATCCCAATTTTGATCTTCAATTCCTTATTCCAATTGGTTGGCAACGATGGATGATGATTTCAATTGGTCTTACTTTTGTGTCTTAAACATTCCCTTCCCCTTTTTCTTACGAAGTTTAATTTTTAGTTGATAAACGCATTAGAGTGTGAACCTTTTAAATTCTGTGGTATTTGTAATTGGTGCTTTGATTTGATGTGATTGTCATTTTCTGATTTCATGAGTTTTTGTTCTTTCTTTGCAAGAGCCAAAAGGTAGTTTTAACAGTTTTACCTTGATCTTCCAGAAAAGGATTTAAGGCAACCATCCTTGGATAAAAATATGGAGTTTGATCCAATCAGGCAGCATAGACATTTTTGCCCCTGGATTGTTTCAATAGGTAGCAGGGCACCTGGATGGAAACAAACACTGTCTGCTTTGTTACGTCAAAAAGATGTTTCTCATTCTTCACCTACATCTTCTCCTTCATCATCTTCGTTGATAAAGGTAAGATTAAACTCTATTTCTATGATTCTCATCAAGCACAAGGGATGTCAAGCATCAGTCCATTGAAGTATTTGATGGGAATAAGTTGACTTTTCCATTGACTGTTCTTATCCTGCTTGTCCTCTTTTGAACCAATCAAACAGCACCAATTGATGAACACGTTAAAACGAAAGGTCACTGTTAGAGAATACGTCAGTTCCTTTTATTCCCGTTTTTTGTCCAGGGTGACTAAAAAACCTATAATAAGGAATTTCGATGTTGGCGCCTACTTCATTCTGGTTTCAAAGCCTAAAACTGAAATTACAGTGGCTCTTTTCTTTTACACTTTTTTGGAGGGGAGGGGGAATTAGTGGAGCATGTGCATGCAAATTTCTTTCTGTCTTGTTGAATTTATATTTTCTAGTATTGTCAACAGGTGGACGATCCCATTGAATCAGTCAGGAAGCTGTTTACATCTCCTGTGGCAAAAAAATTGAAGGTCATTCGTCAATCAAATTAAATTGCATTTTCGTTGCCAACCAATTTTGTTGTCGGTGTCAGACAGGATACTGCTGCCAAATTTTCATATACATGGTAGGATGCAAATGTCCCAAGAGATTGTGTGCTTATGTTGCCTCCCATTTGGAGCATACCAGACATTTATCCGATGTTAGACCATGTGCAATGGTTTGTGCTTATTATTTCCATTACAGCCAAAAAACTGCTCCAAATTGTCAAAATTTTCAGCAACTGAGGTTCTGAAACTTGTAATATGAGGTTTCTTAAAAATAGAAACAGATTGTATTTTTGTTGTATGAAATAGGTCACTCTTCCCTTCATAAATCAAAGACTATGAAAATTCAACAAGAAGGGTGTTTTGGTTCTATTTGCTAAAACAGCTCTTTTAGCCAAAGAACCTCGGAGTAAGGTCAGTTGAAGGCTTGAAGCCCCTCTTTTTGCTACAACAGCTCTTTCTATCGCCCACCACTAGCTTGGCCACCCTCATCACATAATGGTAAGTATATTTTTCTCATTTCTCCACTCTGTCTATTTGGGTTTTGGACATTTAACAATGAGAAGTAGCCAGGATTGTAAAGCTTACCTGAAATAAGATGAACTTGTGCTCTCTTGGACAGTCTTCACTCTTGCCTGATTCTCTCTACAACAACCTCCATTCCTTCCAAGACTTCTCCAACCACCTTTGCTGAGGCATCCAGTTCCGGCGAGTCCTTGATGTCAATTGCAAGCTCTCTACCATTTGATTCTGTTCCCACCATGCCTTAGTATGTGCCTGTTGAGAAAGTTATTATGAGGGAAAATGTCTTCTCAAGCCCAGACCCTCTTTCGCCAGTTCAAACTCAAGAACATCAAACTGAATAATGGATTTCCAAGAAAAAAAGAGTCAAACTGAATAACTTTTGGGGTACAATGGAAAGAAAATAAAGTTTGGGGTATTTTTTACAATTATAATTTGTGTTTGAAAAATCATTAAATTTAATTTCTGAATTTTTTCCTACTTAAGATTCAAAAATGTGTTTTTTGCAGTCCGGACTGCATCACAGTGCCCAAACAAAAAAGAAAAAAAAAAAACCCTCTCTCTTTAGGGTTTAAGGCATTTCCAAAAACCCGATGCACTGTAACTCGGTTTCGGTCTCCATTGGCATTTCAGAATGGCAAATTCGATGGCAACGCTCTCAAGACGGTTCTATCGCCATCTTCTTTCCAACCCTAGAACTGCTCAGTGTTCGATACCCTTTTCCACCACCCTTTCTTCAGGCGGAGCCACAGACGTGGACGAGGTCACCCTCGACGAGGAAGCCGAACCACCTCAATCGCAATCATCACCACCATCAGCGTCGTCGGAGAACGTCAAAACAGGCAGCGGAAGGCCCTTTAAAACGCAACTAGAGAATGGCCTGGATACGGGCATTTTCAAGGTGCATTTGTTCACGCCTTAGCTTTAAATTTCCCTTCTCTTCTACTGTAATCGTCAAAATTTCGCGTTTGTTGGTTGGAGGGTTTATGTGAAGTCGAACTTTATTTTCCATCATAGGCAATACTGGTGGGGCAAGTCGGAAATCCCCCACATCAGAAGAAGCTGAAAAATGGGGCTTCTTTGACGTTTTTTACATTGGGTACGGGTGGGGTTCACAACAGTCGTAGGCCGTTGCAGAATGAGGAACCGATGGAGTATGCAAATCGCTGTACTGTTCAGTGGCATCGTATCTGTGTTTACCCAGAAAGCTTGGGACAGACTGTGATGAAGCACCTTGTACCTGGGTAAGATTTGACCTCTAAGCATTTGTCACTCTGTGCATGTGTTACCGGCAAAGTGCCCATCTTGGTTAGTTATTTATGATCATCACTTTTTTCTCTTTTGAGTTCCATCACTTATTAGGTTCTTCTTATACTGATCCTTTTACTGTCAAAATTATGTTAGTAATTAAGAAATTGTGATAATCTCAGCACGCATATGCTGCAGAAGCATAGCTAGTAATGTTTTGCCAAAGAATTGAATAACTGCCTTACATTGACTCTTAAGATTGTATGCAATCAAGCTTTGATGGATGGTTCTTTGATACAACTGAAACATAGATTGAAGGAGAATTTTTCGATTCATGCTTTATTTATGGTAATTTTCTGTATTTGATGCATTAACTGTGCCAATTTTGATGGAATTTTTGGGTAGAAGATTTTTATGTGAAGCTGTTAATATTTTTGAAAAATTAAGTTACTAATCTGTATGTTTGATTGAGGGCATGGGGCTCTGATGATGCAATTGATGACAGGATACTATAGCATTAAAGATTGGGTATGAGGAGAGGAGTCAGTAATTTATTCATTTATATCAAAATGTCAATATTTGAATGATGCATTAGTTTAATATGGTATCTTCCTTGTTCAGACATTGCTTGCTTGGGCAGTTTGCAGCTGTTCAAGATCAGACATTTTACCGAACCAAGAAATAATTTGTTCTTTGCATTGTTAATGAATTTTGAGCTATCTTATTGTGGCAAATCTCGTTGATTTACTTATTGATTTGAAGATTTGATAATATCCTTTTGTTTGTTTGTGTGTGTGTGTGTGTGTGTGTGTGTATTTCTCCTTGATTTTGGGCATATCTATGTGTGCTGAGTTGACTAATACTTCTTGTCACATATTGCATCAGCTGCTAATCTTCTTTCACTTCTTCTAACCTTTTTCTTCTCCTTTTTGAGGCAGTTCAATTGTATATTTGGAGGGGAACCTGGAGACAAAAATCTTCAATGATCCAATTACTGGTTTGGTTCGACGCTTTAGGGAGGTTGGAGTTCGCAAAAATGGTATGCACATGACTTTCTTCAGTTATTTGGAAGAAATAATGACATAATCTAAACCTGAATTTTTTTTTCTTGTCTGTGTGTTTTGACACTTCTAAATATTTTCCCTTCTTATAATGTTTAGTGTCTTCTAGTTACTTGTGCTTCACCTTATTGCCCATAGTGCGTAGATTTGAATATTACTCATAAAGATTGTTTTGTGACTAAATCTGGGTTTGAGATTGCCTTTCAACTGTTTTACACGATAGCACTACTGCTTTTGAATAGACGTGATTGCTTCAGGCATTTGTGTTTTGTAATCCAAGAAAGTAGGAATGTCACTTTAGGTGTTATATGGGTATTTTCTTAGCTATATCCTACAACAGATGCTAAGCCAGATGTGCTATTATATGATTGTTTTGTTATCAAACGGGTGAGCACAGTTTTTGCCATTTAAAATGATAACTATTATTTTGTTAAGTGAATGTGAATGCATTCTGATTTTAATCTGTTTTCCCAAGACTTTATTTTTACCTTCTGTCAATGCATTCTTTTCATAGCCTTATCTTTTGACCATCTTATTTAACCCTCCAGTAGGTGATATAGTCTAACTGCCAAATTGCAGGATGCGAAATATGGAGCTGGTCTTTTTTTTCTTTCTTTTCAAAGAAAATTACCCTCCTTGCTAAAAACTTTTCTGTTTTGCAAATTGAAAACCCATAATTATTTTTCAAATATATGCATTAACCTGTGCTGAGCTTAATTTCTTGGTGAGGCATAGGCATGCTACTTTTTTGGCAGCCTCTTTGACTTCATCTCTCTATGCTAGAAAAGCATGTTGGCTGGTGCATTTTGTTAATCCTATTCTTGAATAAATAAGATGAGCAGACTTATTAGTGTGTGGTAAAGGCTTCTAAGTTCTATAGTTTTATTGTTTTTCATCTTTGAATTTCTCCATCCTTTTTGTAGGTCGCCTCGTTCTTTTGGACAAAAATGAGGATGCCAAAGAAGCCGCCTCAAGTGGTAACAATGCATTTGGCTTTTATTAGAAAGAAATCAAAGTGGGATTTCAAGAGCTGAGAAATTATTTGTCATAAAACAAGTTTTGACAATTGTATTATACAGTGCTTTGACAAGAATTCTAATGGATGGTGGTGGTTTTACCTTTTTCTTTTCTTTTGTCACATAGTATGGTGATGAGCTATATTTGTTTGATCACAACGTGTCCTCAACCAATGTGAAGCCGTAGTGATCGAATTTTACTGTTTTGCATCTTTCGATGTCTTGATCATAAGAGTTATGCAATGCTGCTGCTTTACTTATATAAAAGGTTTCTACATAGTATTCCAATCAAAGGTGCCATTATTTCAAAGGATATTCTACATTGTATTCCAACTATCACCCTTGAGGAGCAAAGATCTATTAGTTTAAGTGGAAGTAATTCAGTTTTTTTAAAACAAAATCTCAAATTTGAATCTTGTGAATTAAAAAATAGGTATTGGGAGAATTTTCCCCTTATGGGGTTTGATTCGATTTAATTTTAGATTAATCGAGATTTAAAGTGATTATCAGATACTGAGATCGAGGGATTAATAAAAAAAAAAAAAAACTATGACCCTTAAAGTAGCTAGAAAAAGTAATAATTTTTTAACTCCAAAGAATATATTGAAAATGAACATGTTTAATTAAAAATATCAAGATATTTAATCATAATTACATAATAGATGGCACTCAAATAAGATGCATTAATACTTTTTTCTAGCACATTCAATGGTAAATTATATAAAAAAAGGATAATTTTTTATTTTTTTGACACCTCTCATTATTCATAACTTAGAATTACTTAAAATCTTATATTCTTAACCAATTGAGTGACCACTTGGAGTGAGAATTACACTAGTATAACTCATATACTCTTATCTTAAAGCTAAGATTAGACATTCTAACGTTAAAAGTGATGTCCAGACGTCTTGATTTTTAGCGTTGCCTCTCAAAATTTGTAGAAATTGTGTCGTGGGCAGTGGGTTAGGTCTATTGGATTTCAGTCCATATATCATCCTGGCCCAACCCGTGGACAATCCCCCAAAGTAAAAACAGTGTTCCTTTTCAGCAACCATAATAAACTAAACAATTTATTCACGTATCACGTCGTCTCTTCTACGCATCTCTCTGCATTTTTTTAGAGAGCGAGAGAAAAGTTTGTTTTTGTTTATATTTTCTTGTTTCCAACCTAACAATGGCGACAGAATCTCCCCAATCAACATCAGCTTCCTCCGCTGATTCCTACATCGGCAGTTCCATTAGCTTGATTTCCAAGTCGGATATCCGGTACGAGGGCGTTCTCTTCCATATCAGCCCTCTCGAATCCACCATCGGCCTCAAGAACGGTTGATTTCTACTCCTTTTCCTTTCATTTCTCTTCTTTTTTTCTTTTTTCATTTTATGGTTTCGGTTTTTGTTAATGTTGTTTTCTGTGGATTCTTGATTGATTTGGAGAGTATTTGGGTGTCAAAGGGGGCTTTAGAGAGGTTTTAGGAGAAGAAATGATGAATTTGTATGAATAATCAATTACATCTTTGAAACTTACAAAAAGAAGCAAAAAAATTACACCTTTGAAAGTTGATGGTTGAGATATAGGTTAAAGGAAGATTAGTGGATACAATAAAAGGTTTGGATTATATGTATGGAGTTAAAAAAAAAAAATACTGGGAAATAATATAGATGATTAAACTAAGGTGTCTATGTCGACAGGGTGCACCTTTGTTGTTCTTTGTATTTCATGTATGTATGTATATTATGCCTGTTTGGTGTGATTGGAAGATCAAGAGAAGATCAAATTGCATGAGTAACGTTCAGTTTTTGTTCTAATTAGTGACCTCCCTAACTGTGTAAATAATGTTGAAAAGGAGGTCTCTTGGCTTGGATTTTTACAATTATGTTACGAGTTTTTGCAAGAGGTTTCTCTCTCTTGAGAGTTCTTTTTAATAGTTATTCATTACTTCTCTTTGTTTGGCCATGCATGGCCGTTAACAATCTCTACTTTTCTGCAGTAAGATCTTTTGGCACAGAAGGGCGAAGGAAGGATGGCCCTCAGTTCCTTCCAAGTGATAGAGTGTATGACTACATATACTTCCGAGGAAGTGATATTAAGGTATGCAAGAGACACAAGATGTCTTTGCAATGGAATATGCTTTCTAGTTTAACTCTTGAAATTTGATGGATTTTAAATCATATATTGATCAAAGGCCAAAAAAAAAAAAAAATCATATTTTGCCTGGATTCCCATTTATTTTTGGCATGCTCTCTCAGGATTTACAAGTTCTACCTTCAGTCCCTGTACAGAGTGCACCAGCCATACCCAATGATCCTGCTATCATTCATGCATGTAGTTTGTAAACTGGGAAGACCTGTAGCTATTATCCAATCAATGAAGTGAATTTAATAATTAATTTTACAAATTATTTCTTTTGCAGTCTCATTATAGCCCTCCAGCTACATCATCTGCAAGCTTGCCACCAGCTCATACTGATTCTGTAACAAATTTGAGTTCCACCTCCCAACTAGGACTTCTGGGTTCAGTGCTCCAAGGCAGCATGCCTCAATATCAGCCTGTGGGTAATGTCAGATCTTGGGTTCCATCACCTCTTCCAAATGTAAACAGCAATGAGCTTGGTACATCAATATATTTGGAAGGATTGAAAGGATCCTCAGGGCTTTCTCATTTGCAACAGCAGACGTTGCTTGGAGTTGGTTCACCACCTGGCTTATTAGTGTCTCCTCAGCAGCAGCAAATGCAATATTCAACTGTAGATACATCCAAACCTAGTGGTGGATTAAACTTACCTGAAGTTCCTCGTCCATTGCTGCCACCTGTATATGCTGGCGCCCTGAACTCAACACCAGCACCAATCCCATTATCAGCTTTGGCATCAAATATTCATCTCGGGGGTTCTACTTCAGTAGCTTCTAGTGACGTACTGGGTCCAATGGCAAACTATGAACCTAATACTTCTCCTTCTTCAACCTTAAGTCCTTGCTTGACACTAGTGTCTCCATTTACTTCTGCTGCACATAGAGATAATACTGTAGCTCAGGTTGGTGATAAAACTGCATCTATGCTTAGTTCCACTTCTCCTTATCAGGGTTTGCCTACATCTTCCCCATCTACTGTTGGGACATCTGGTTCAAATTACATTGAGGCACCAACACCCTCTCTAGTGACACCAGATCAGCTTTCGAAGTCTCCAGCCTTAAATCCACCTACAAAAACATCTCTTCCCCTGCAAACTGCTCAGAAAGACATTGAGGTGGTTCAAGCATCAACTTCAGAACCAATACCACTGGAGTCAAAAGAAGCTAAGACTCCATTGTCATCATCCAGAAAGGTATTTTTTTCTTTGTGCTTTTATTTCTTTTATTTATTTTTTTTTTTCTACTTCAAAGTAAGTTGATAGAGAAATTAGGATGGGAGAAGAGGTCCAGTGTGGAAATGTTAACAATGCATGTATAAGTACTAGTATTCGTGGCAATGTATGTTTTTAACCATCTTTGATAATTCTTTGGGTCTTTGCATCCAATAGCCTAGGTATGCAGATCCTTTTTCTTGCTATTCACTTATGGCTACACTTACACATGATCAGTTTTTATTTTTCTTCTTATGATATTTTATTGTTCTAATTAAATTATACAGGTTATTCTAATTTCTGCCTTTTTGTTTTGCATTTACTTTTCTTAGTTGAACACTGCCCCGGTAGATTCCAAATATCATGATTATGGGGTTGAATGTAGAAGAAGAAATGGGGTAAAATTAATTTTCCAGCCTTGCTTTGCAGTTAGTTAATTGAGGTTGTTATTTTCTTAACGATTGATTGTTTTCAAATCAAGACTTTTTAGATGCAATTACTTTATACAGCACAGTTCTTCTGATAAATACCCTTCATCTGTAGGGCTGATCTTGAGCCCTTAAATTATGGGTTTGTTGAAAATTCTTATGTCATGCTTATTATTCAACATCTCTTCTTTGCACTCTTACTATTTATGTTCCTTTTCTTTCTTAATCACATGTTATGCTGGTTTTGTAATGGTATATGATGGTTAATCCCTTTTCCCTTTTGTTTTATACCTGATTTTCAGTATTTAAAGGCTGTACTGTTTACTCTTTGCCTGCCTGATTCTTTTTTTGGCAATTGCCACAACCTTAAGTTAATATGATTAATTGTGTAGATATCTCTACTGATTACTTTGTCAGCTATTCTTCCAACAAGTGAAATGTTTCTAAATGGTGCTGCTACATATGTCCTATATATGCTTAACATCTACTGCTTTTTATTTCAGCTTTTATTTCTTTAAGTTGATGAAGTGGTATTTTCATGCATTCCACTTTTACATTTATTTCCAGCAGCATGGTGCTGCTTTGCATGGTTACCGCAGTCTTAGGAGCCATGTTGGAGGAAGAGAAAACAAGGTAATCAACTTATGTTGTTGTATGCTAGTAATTTCAGATTGGTTTTTGGTGTTTGCTTATCTATTTAGACATTTTTCTTTGGAATTCTGTCTATGTTCCTTCCAGCTGAATGGAACTATGTCTCCCTCTTACCAAAGTAAAAAGGCCCATCTACGGGGACAAGGAAATGGGGTGAGTTCTTTGTTACATTATTTTAGTTCCCAATGTTAATAATTTGTTGATGTGTTGAATTCATATATATTCACTATGGCATGAGAACTCCAATGTGTTTCGGTTGCTTGCTTTTCTTACAGCTCTATGGAACTGCATCACGCACTCATCTCAGTTATGAAGGCCATGGATGGGGGAAAGAGAAGATGGTAGCCCTCTATTTGTCATTTTAACCACCAGGGATTTTCATGTTTATTGTCCTTTTTTATCTGTGGGTTTATAAAAATTCAATGAAGATTTTAAAGTGAATCCTCTGTGGTGTTTTACGTTTTTCTTTTTACCAGATGAAAGGAGCTGCTTCAAGCTATTGTCATGGTAACATGGGTCGTGGTGCATGGGGACGAACCAATAGGGTAATATTTCTACTATTTCTCTGATTATCCTCTAAATTTGATAATTCTAGCAAATAGTGGGACTTGGAACTTCAATGATGAGTAAAATGCACAAGTGAGCAGTCGCATTAAAGTCTAAGCCTTGCATAGTTTTTACTTTTCAGCATTCAATACAGATACTCAATTTTACTTTGTATTTGTGCCTTGCAGAAATAACTGATCTGAATAGTTCTCTATTTATTTCTTCTCTCCTGTTTTAAATAAATAGGTGCACTATATTAATATAAGTCAAATGTGGCTTTTCTACTTAGTCAACAATGACCCTCTGATGCCTCTTTGAGTACCTATAGGGGTCAGGCTCAACTTCACTCTTAAAAATTTGCTCAAGATAGATGGTTTAGGTGTTCATTTGTGCTCAAATTGGTAATTTCATGAGCAAACATCTACTTCATGTTACCATTTTCTCACGCATTTATATTTAAGACAGCATAATTAAAACAGTTAAACTAGAACCTTATATATTTTGGTTCTGGTAGACAGAGAATCAACTAAAATTGAGCTCATGGTACAGGTTATTGTAGATTAAATTACTTCATTCACTGTCTTTTATTATCATTATCATTATTTTTAAGGAATGATTTACAAGATTTTTGTTAAGAGAGGGAGATGCACTATCAATATTACATGTAGCTTTGGAAAAGTCACTATGTTTGCTTTGCAGCCTTCAAAGTCTATAACCAAATTTACTGAGGATTTTGATTTTGAGGCAATGAATGAGAAATTCAATAAAGAGGAAGTGTGGGGTCAGCTAGGCAAAAGTGTCAAAGTCAAATCAAAAGATAATATGAACACAAGTGACAGTGATGAAGAAAATTTGCAACATGAAGATGCAGATGGACTACCAAAAGTTGAAATGAAGGTGAGCTAAGTGATGCATAAGAAAATATATTGCATTCTTTTCTCTTTTTGGAGATTGAATTGCCTACTTTTATTTGTTTGAAAGACACATTTTTTTCCCTCTGTTTCTTATCGGTTCATGATAATGGTCTTTTTTCCTTTTTCTCTCTGTTGCACAGCCAGATTGAATTGCCTACTTTTATTTGTTTGAAAGACACATTTTTTTCCCTCTGTTTCTTATTGGTTCATGATAATGGTCTTTTTTCCTTTTTCTCTCTGTTGCACAGCCTGTGTACGTTAAGGATGACTTTTTTGACTCCCTCTCTAGCACCACATTTCATCATGAAGCAAAGAAAAAGGTCAAGTTACATCAACAGAGGAAATTAGATATGGAGGTATTGCTTGTCATCTATTTCACTGTATCAAAGTATATGCTTTTTATATGATTTGTTTACCTTTTACCATCTGTGGTGATTGGTGTTCCAGACATTTGGCTATTTCCAAACAAGTCGAGGTGGTCGTGGTGGCCGGGGAACAGGTCGTGGTGGTGGCTGGTCACGTAGTGGTAGATATGGAAGGGGGGGATATGGGCGTGCTGGGAGAGGTATCTGGAGCAGCGTAACCTAGTTTACTCTTTTGAACATAGTTATAATAGACATGATCTAACCAAAGCTGCGTACCCAGATTTAGCTTTAATAAGTTTGAAACAATATTATGGTTGCAATGGAATTGGCAGCCTGATCTACCAGGGAACAAACTGACTATGACCTAAAGAAAACCCGTCATCTAGGAATTGACGGGTTGATGATAAAGGGGTGCAAAGATGCAAATCCTCTTCTGATTATGCTGACACTGTTCATCATTTCTATTCACGGTGCAGCTGGTCTGTAGGTATTTACCAGAGATCATTATTCAAGTTGTTCCGAAGTGCTCCTTAGATGGCATTTAACTGAATAACATTTTAAATGTTATTATTCGTGTCATCATAAGTATTTTAAAATCTCATCTTATGACAAACCTTGGGTTATTAGTGTTTGTTATCCAGGTTAGAAATACCTCACTTATCATTCATTCGTTGTTGTATGATACATAAGTGAGGGATTTGGTGATGATTTGGACCTGAACGGTAGGAAAGAGAGAGACAAGAATTGCATGCTAAAACATGGATGCTGCATTGCACCCTGTTGTGTCCGTTAACACTTCATTTTCACTTGGGTATTGGGTGAGAAAGTTTAGGGTGAGGGGAGCACAAGCATCATGCTTAGAAATGAGTAAAATCCCGCTGACCCAAATTTTCCCATGACTTCCAACTTCACAGGTAAGGCTTACCTAATCAATACTAGAGTTTCTATCACTAGGGCTGGTGGTTTCATTTCTCAATTTTACAGGTTTTTCCATACCTCGTGCTTGTGATGTGTCTATCCTGAATTTGACCTTGAAGGAGGAATCTGATGCAAGGCCTGCAGAGGTTTAGTTGCTCATTTTGTTTTTGAGCTTAATCACTGCATTTATGTTTCATTAGTTTGTGAGATGCAACTAACGGCCTTTATTTTAGTACATATTTGGTTTTAACTTGTATTTGTTGTGAGATAATATAATTACAATATTATATGACATTTTAAACTTTCAACATAATATATTATTGTATGATATATTTTTTATTAAAAAATTTACTTATAATATTAAATGAATTCACTTATTTAATAATACATAAGAGGAATTAAATTTGACAACAAAAACACAATCCCTTAATTATGGGGGTGCAAGAACTCTTAAAAAAATGCAGCATAAGAAAGTTGATAAATCGATATGTACCTGAATTATGCTCGTAAGTTCTACTTTGCCAAAAAAAAAAAAAGAGAAAGACTTTGAGTTTAAATATATTTCACCTTAATTTTCAGAAATTATGATTTTGGGTTGTACAAAGTAAACTAGCAACTCTACATTTTACAATTTTGGTTTTAATCTCCAAAACAATTTCTTTGGAGAAAAAAAGTCCTAAGATACTCTTATTTAACCATATCCTATTTTATCATGTGAGTTGATATTAGTCACATTTTTTAATATATTTTTTATAAGTTATATAATAAAAAATAATATTTTTTTTCTTAACTAATCTCCTATAATTTTAAAATTTAAAAACTTGAGACCTTTTCTTTTTCTCAAATTCCTCTTAACCTTTTTAAAAATCAAACAAAAACATTCAAGGTTTTAATAGCAGCAATGTCTCTTAACAAACCATGTCACAAATTATTTTAACTTGCAAAATAAAAAAGAGTACAATAGGAATGTTATTACTCTCATTGCTTCAAAATAATTATTATTTTTATATTTTGAATCTGTCTCAATGAATTTTTATTTTTTAATATAGACAAATATTTTTATCTCATTTTAATCTTATTATTATATTTTCATTTTAATTAATTATCTAATGATAAATTTTTTTATCTTTTAGTTTTTAAGGGTATTATAATAAATGTAAATATTATCCTCAAATCCTTAATTTGAAAAATAAAATAAAAAATAAAAATTATTTTGAAATATATAAAGTAATATTTTAATAAAACTATTGTATCAAAAGTTTTTTTATGGCCAATGATTCTTTTATAGAAACAAGTTTATAGCAATAAGTTTTTTTTGATGTCTACACCTTTGTATTATGAAATCACAGTACAAATTAAAATTTTGATGTTTTTTGATATATTATGATCTATATAAATGAATGGACATTTCACCTTTCACCTTTCTGTCTATTAAACTGTGTTTATTGAATAGTTATATTTATCAAATCACCATACTTATAGAACTAACAAACTTTATTTATTGTTCTAATTAAATTCTATCCATGAATTTAGTCAAACTCATCATCATAAATTTGGTAAAGTTCACCCACTGAATTTATGTAACGTTTATTCTCTCCTACTCTATATATAAGTTGATATTGTATGAAAAAGAAACAAAGAGGGAAGGAAATGAAAGAATAGAAAATCATATTTTCAAAGCTCTTCTTATATGTCTTATCTTTTCTTTTCTTCTTATCTCATTCCATTACCTTACCTTTATTTATATTCTTACTTCCTTACACTCAAAGACCTCTTATTTTATAATACTATATAAATTAACAAAAAAAAAAAATTGTCAGTTCCATGCTTGAAAAGGCTTTTTTACACTTAATGAACGAATTATATTGTGTTACTTATTGGTGATTCAACAAGGGCAAAAATGTTATTTTCACTAATCTAGACTGAAGTTTTTTAATAAATCAATTTTCGAACGAAATACTACTAGTATATTTAAAAATGGCAATGAAATTTATTAAGTATAAAAAAAAAAAATCAAGTGCATGACGGCTTCCATTTTTTTTTTTTTCTAATGCTACGGCCTTCGCCTTCATTTTAAA